AAGGACTCCCTTAACCCCAAATAGATCCTCATCCCAAATGAACCGTCAGCCCAAAACAAACCCAAAAGCCCAGAGAAAGCCCAAAAGCCCTGGAGTAAACCTGTAATGCCGCGCGTGACATCTCTACACCGCACGGCGTATCAAAAATCATTACGCCGCACGCGATCATGAGGTTAGCCGCACGACATTTTGGGTAAAGTTCTGACTGGCTCAGAAAGCTGTCGGCCACGCCTGTTTGAGCCACAGCTACACTACGGCTCAGTCGAAAGCACATTTCTGGCCCGCCCAGAAAATACCTCCAACATTTGAAATTCAAAATCCATAGCTCTTGCCTATAAATACACCCCTCCACTCAAGGGAAAAGGGCCTTTGATCACCATTATACCCTTTCTCTCTCTTCTTGCTTTCACACCCACTTCCTATTTCCAAGCCTTGAGAATGTTGCTCTCAAAAGATATTCTCTAGACCTTTTACTCCATTTTTCTCCTCACCATTGAAGTTAGTCACTTACTAACTTTGAGACCCCAACCACCTAATACACTCATCTACTACACACACCCATACTTCTATTTTCTTTACCAACCTTTCGATGTCCATCCACCATCATCAATACTCATTCAAGCTCAAATTCAAAGGTAAAAACCAAGTTTCCTTGGGCTAGGCTCTGCCCTGGCCCTGAGGGGACCTTTCTGTCTTCAGGCTTAACCCTTTTGGTCAGGATCTGACCCAAAAATCACTTTTACAAGACAAAACTGGTTTTCTGTGCATGGTACACTACGCTGCGCGGCGCTTTAAAGCGTCTCATGGCGTAGTGGACTCACACGCGCGGCATTTTATCCAAGTACTGTTTTCTTGTTCAAACTGTCTGGATCGCGATCGTCTGTGGTTGGATATGTTTCCGTACACCAAAAGCAATCTCGAAATGGGACCATATCTACAAGCCATGTTTTAAACTCTATAGATCTTTTCGAAATGAACAAATGCATCCAAAATGGTTTTCTACTTGTGGCTTGGAAGAATGGTACAATTCTGAGATGATCTGAGGGCTGTGAGCTTTCTGAAGTTTTGAAAACAACACCGTGCGCCGTACTGGTTATACCGTGCGAGGCTTTGAAAAATGACAAAAGTTTGATGACAAAGTCAGAACCACGCACGGCATATCAGAAGGCCGCGCGTCATAACTTGGTGTGCCGTGTGACTTAGGATAGTGATCCAGACAGCTTGTTCATGTGTCTTTCTTATTTATATTATCGTCATGACATCCTTTAACATTTCTGTAAAGTAAGCACCACTTGCACGGCAATGTGATATATTTTATCTTGTTCCCTTCTCCCGTATGTGCTTTTTTTTAAGGTTTTCCGAATGGTATTAAATCCCCCCATTTAAAATGCTTAGTAGAGATCAGTTTTCACCGGGCAAGCGGGGTGTTTTTTCAACAAAATCTTCTCCGCTTGTAACGTGGCTCCCGGATCCAAAATCTCAACGTTTTCGCTAGATCGAAAGCCTTTTTCCCTCAAACAAACTCTCGATTTCTCGGATCATCCATCTCAAAAATCCAGGTGGCGACTCTTCGAATGCGCCCGGGGCGCTGGAGCCCACAAGTAGTCCTACATCCGGGTAGAGCCATATGTCCATGGGTAGGCCTAACATATTAGATAGCGGCTGTGAGAGAGGTTTAAACAGAAGAGACTCACATTGTTGATTAAAATAGGAGCATTGGAAGTGTTGGCCCAAATTAGCAAAACCCCCGCCAACATGAGAGAGAGAAAGGGTGGTGTTTGCAAATTTGTGATGTTCATATGGTTGTATATTGGTATGTATAAATACAGAGGGTACAGTCGAGGAGAGTAGAAGAAGCTGTGGTGCCTGTTCAAACATCATTCACTTGCCCATCGTAGAAATGGGTCACTGTTATATGGGCTAGGAGCCTCCTGATCTACGTTAGATGGACTAGGTGCTCGTATGTCTCTGAAGTGCCAGATTGATCTACTTCATACAAGTTACAACTAAAACCATACATGACAAGATTCCATGTCTCTTAAATACTTCTTTTTTGGTTAGCGTAGTGTAGGTGGAGAAAAACAGATGGTACCTAGAACAACGCTGAACCTCCTTACGTCACGTGCTGTTCGACCGGAACCCTAATACTTTCGCCTGAACCCTAACCTGTAAAACAGACAAGGGGTGAGCGCACCTTTGCCTCTCGTGGCAAAGGCCCTCCGATGCCTAAGTTAGTATCTCGTACTGTTTCAAAACCCTAATTATCAATAGGAAGTGAGGAATGAATGCAACTTATTGCGTACCTTTTTCCTCCATGTTTACCTCGTATTTATAGATATGAGCATGCTTTCTTCCCAAGCATCCTTATTGCCCAGGTCTCCTATCACGTATAGGAAACCTGGTTCTCCTGGGAGTCTCTTGCCCAATCAACTGAGACCCCTTACTCATAGGATCTCTTGTCTAAGAGGAATTCGTTCCATAACAGGACTGTCCCTCTTACTTATCATTACTAGGTATTGGACTCTTTTTCTAGAATACCCTCTCCCGCCTTATCTCTTAGAATAATGTTTCATCAAATGACTCCATCTGTTCGGCACATGCTTCTACCGAACAGACTGCACAAGTATATGACTTCTTTTGTTACTGGTCCATCTAAGCCGAACAGACTAAACTAACTAATGACTTCTCATGTCACTGGGCCACTTAAGCCGAACAGACTGTCGCAACTTGATGCCTTCTTGGCACACCGGACCTTCCCACCGCCGTTCATCTCGTATGGAGTCCTATATCACTTTTCTCATTACACGTGTCTGGCATACCACGTGTTCTGTCACTTTCTATACCTGTTCGGGAATACCTCCCTACACGTAGAATAGTAACTCCTGAGACTCTGTGGACAACACTTATAAGAATGGGATATTCTCCCTTTCTCAGAACTTATCTGCTAGGCTACTAAACCCAAATAGAGCTAGAAGACCATAAGGTGTTGTGGTAGTTTGCTCTCTTCTGTTTGGTTCTGCGTGCACTTTGTTGGCCTGTTTAGGCTTGTAACCAGGACTGCCCCTGAGCGCCTTCGATAGTTTCGTTGGGGCTATTGAACCTTAACTTACCCAAGAAAAAAGCTACTATACAAGGAGTAGCTAAAGCGAGAAGGAAATAGGGAGGAGTGAGGGAGGGGGGTGAAGACAATATGAAAAAACTAACCTTGGTCGTCTTCTTCAAATGTGTCACCGGGTAGGTTCTTTCCTTACTCTAGTTTCTTCTCCTGTTGATACATTTCTGCCGACAGAAAGTAAAATCCTATTTGGCATCGCCTCTCTCTATCTATCTATCTTCTGTGTCCCCCTGTTAGAAACTATAGGAAAATAGTTACTGTAGATCACCACTTGATTACAGACTCTGTTTGATTCAATGAATACCCACCTCTTCCAGAATACTTCGTAGATGACACAGATAAATTTCCGTGAATAGAAAACACGGATGAATACTCCGCGAGCGACTTCACAGATAGAACGAAAAGCTCCGCGAATAACACCACGGATCCGTATAACTCTCACTAAGCAATCCATTAAAGCGTATCGCCTCCTTGGGTATTACACCTTGTTCTCTCCATTACAACTCTCTCAAATATTCAAATAGTTCTGATGGCCAACTATGAATATCCTAGCCACACATTTATAGGCAACGTAAGTTTTGGAGAGAACAGTGGTGGGATCCCTTAGGGTTCTCATTCAGTTAGTTGTGGAAAGACCCATGACTTATAATGGACCACTTTCTCAGGGAACCACTTTCCCCTCTTCCTGATCAATCAGTTATACAGATATTATCACATCCACATATTACAATCATGTCCATCAACATATTGTAATTACATTCTAACTAAAGAGAATTATCAGTGAGGCCCTTTTCTACGAATTTATTTATATCCTTCCATCATACTATATTCCACATGAATCACAACCGTAGAATGATTTCATTCATGTATCTGAAAAACTTAATTTTCACTTTCTAATTGGACCCCAAAAGTTTTAAAAAAAAACTTTTAGTATATTATACTTCTATAATAATAAATAAACATTTTAAAAGAAAATGTCACCGGCCGGTTTTCTTTTGGTCCAACGTTATTGTGAAAATTGCTCGAATATACTTTCTCTTAAATAGAGAATGACGGATTCCATGTTGAGCACTAATATAATATAATTGCCACCATATAACCCAACATGTCCTTATATAGCCTTTTACATCAGCATCACCGATTGACAATATCAAAGTTACACGAACAAGTAATTAATATTATACTAGCCTCTCAGGTCTAAGGATAACAAATAAACCGTAATAGAACTACCCTTCTAAATATTACGGTTATCATATACATAGGGTGTTCATTATTTAGATCATGTTCAATACATGTGACAATCACATTATATCCACTTATTTGCTTAAGGTCACTACCTCAATGACGGAGTCAAAAACATTCTATCATATAGCAGCATAATAAGCGTAGGCCTTCGTAATGTGATGCCCAACCACACTCATGACCTAGAACTGTTTTGGGGTTTACAAGGTACCGAAAAATCATAACTCCCTGCTATTGATTCATTAACCATAACATGATTTTTCTACAATGTCGCCCGTTGGACTTTATGCTCACATCTCATGTAGCAGCGTATAATAAAAGTTGTTACCCAATAAACACATATCTATGAATGAAAAACAAAAATACCGAACAGTTAACTTAACCAAAAGAAAAAACAAGTTCAACAATTGGATTTCAGGGCATAAAATTAACACCCCCTTCATGGGGTGAAAGAAGTGAGAGCTCCTTAAGTTAGAAAGAAGTGAGAAGTCTTTGATAAGTTAAGACTCTTAACTTCAGTTCAGACATAATTTCGTCTGTGTTGCCACCTACTAGAAAAACTTGAAACATAACTTACAACGTAAAGTGTGGACAGTGAAACTTTCTTTTTCCTTCCTACAAGTGAAAACAAGCATGCAGCCAAGAACTTCATAGGGAATCGAACCCAAAATCTCTCGTTCTCTGAACTAGCGCCTCTCGTTCTCTGAACTAGCGCCTTATCCATTAGGCCATGAAGTCATTTATAATCAAACATGCAAAAGTATACTCATGGAACTAGAGAATGTTGGAGATTTATAAGCCTTAGAACCCACACATACGTATAATTGTTTTTTTTTTTTTTTCCAAATGTTTCCTTGCGTCTCCATTTCTCTTCTAGGTTTCCATCATGTTTCCGATTTAACATTGCATCTTATGCCCTCTTGACATGCATGATTGCTCACGTTTGTGGTATGTGCTCATGACAACTAGTAAAAGTTTTGTGGAGTCTGCGTGGCACACTTACATCTGATGTCTTGGTCCACAAAGGAGTTCTTTTGTATTAATCACGTTGAAGAACATGCTGCATCAAATGAAATAATACAGAGTATCAGTGCCCCCCACCCCTTTATGGATTAGTCTCATAGAAGTTGTTACTATGTTCGCATCGGTTAATGTGAGTTGGGAATTTATTTTGATCTGTTTCACAGATCTTGTTCCGGGTGAATTTGTGCATGTAATTGGGGATGCTCATGTTTATCTCAATCATATGAGACCTCTGCAGGAGCAGCTTAAGAAACTGCCTAAACCTTTCCCGGCAAGCGTAATTCATCAACTGACTTCACTTTTAGGCATTTTGAGTTAACCAATAACATTAGTTGTGATTGGATGAAGTTTTTTTTTTTTTCCCGGGTCCTTTTTTCCGAAGTTTTTTAGAATTCTTGTCCACATACCTCTTAATAAAAGAACTTCTGCAAGCAGATTTTGAAGATCAATCCTCAGAAGAAGGATATAGATTCATTTGTGGCTGCTGACTTTGAACTCATAGGTTATGAACCTCACCAGAAGATAGGCATGAAAATGGCTGTGTAGGTCACTGACCGTTTTGGTAGAAAAGTACTGGGAGACCCACCCTCCTTTCAAACATATCTGCTCTTGTTTTTTAGGCAAGTACCAGATTTTTTCAGCATTTTGTTCATACCTGTCTTCCCAAAATCAGTTCACTTGTGATCGCTTCAGCATTCTCTCCAATTCTTTGCACTAATCAAAAGAACAAAACACAAAAGTTCATTGAATCATGATAAGTTGATAACCTATTCGAATGGCACTATATGATATTCATTCCTTTAAGAGTTTGTCCTTTGTAGAGCAGTCCATTATAGTTTTTGACTATGACTTTTGGCAATGCCCATGACTCCTCTAAATGGGAATTTAAGCTACTGGTGTGCACCATAATGATATTGCTTGAATATTTTGTGTTCTACCGGGATGGTTATCTGGCTGCTCTCGAAAGTGGAATTTTAGGTGCAAAGTCATTAGCTTCCTTACCAACAGCAACGTGTTCCCCTAAACAACCAAATGATTCACATGCATATTTCCACACGCAGCCAAACTTGTTTGGTTTGCCCGAGTATAAAGCTGCTTAATTTTAAATGTTAAACTGCATAAGGGCAGTTTTGTTGAGTAATTAACTTTGATACTTTAGGACGGATTACTACATCCAAAAAGGTTGAATTGCCAGCATTTTGGGCTTCTGGCTGTAGTGGGCCGAAATATCCGAAGGACTAAAGAGTTCGGTGGGACGACCTTGTGGACCCACAGTTCAGTTGTCTCAGTTCGTCTGTATGAGAAAAGTCAAAACCTAGCACGTCACCCCGGTCGAAACTACCGAACGATAGGCGGTCCTGCGGCTGGTTACCGAACGTAAGTTGTCCCTCCGAGCGTAGTGAAATGCTCTTGTTCGGTGACTGGCTTGTTTACTCGGATAGACGTCTTCCATTTGGACAGAAGGTCGTTCAACGAACAGATGTCACCCTTGGCAGGTTCTTATGTTCGGAAAGTTTCCTCGGTTAAGGCGGTGGCAGAACATTCTAGAAGCTCTTTCTGATAGGACCGATGATAAGGAGGTTCGCCTCTCTGATAACTGATTTGACGTCTCTGACATCGACCCATGTGGGTCTGCGAATCTTGAAGGGCGGTATCACATAAAATATCCCTGACACATGACGTCATCCGAGCGTAGAAGCGCGCGTGCAGTGCACCCTCCTTGCTCAACACTCTAGATCTCTGGCTATAAATAGCAAGGTACCCCTTCAGGGGAAGGGGTCAGATATTCTTCTCCCCTACAAAATTTCTTCTTCTTCTCATTTCATTCTGATTCTAACTAGATCGTCGGAGCTTCTATCCGGAGGAAAACCACCCTCCGATTTGCAGGTACACGGCGTCGCCGGTCAAGGTCATCACGGTTCAAGCAACGAGAAGGGGTTCAGGAGGTTCAAGGATAAATCACGCCCCCACAGTTGGCGACTCTGCTGGGGATGAAACAAAGCTTTCCTAGCAAAACACAGTGGGCCGTGGTCCATCTCAGGCCTCCTCCTCCTTTCTCCATCGTACACCACCACCCATTCGGGTTATGGCACAACGTCTTCCCCCTCCAGGTCCAGAGAACTTCACCCTCGATTTAGCTGGGTTTGGTTCTATAAACGTTGACCCCAGCCAAACCGTAAGAACCACCTTGCCAGTCTCACGGCAACTCTCTTATCCCCAAACCGAGCTTGAGCTTGCTCTGGCGGAGCAAAAGCGTCAGGCCGCGGTCATTGCACTCCTCCAACAACGTCTTGAAGAACGGGACGGAGGGGTGGCCACAACTCCCGTGCATGGTCACTCTGCCGAACCAAGTCGGCCGAAGAAATCACACAAACGAAGCAGGAAGTCTCGCCCAGCGCATCCGTCCGAAGGCGCCCCTTCTGAGCGACGTACTGTTTTTGATCGGCTCGAACGCGCTCCCAGGATACAACCTACGGCCTCTCGCCCACGGATGGAAAGTATCGTCCGCAATGAGAGCACTCGCTTTTCGGCGACGAGCTCCACAGCAGGGACACGCAGGATGGAAGCTTCTGGGAGAACGTTCAATGCTTCTCGACGGCAACAGGAGCACGCGGATGGGAAAAAGCCCTTGGATCTCAATGATCCACCTCGGCGCGTTCGGACCAACGAACGTCCCGAGCGCACCGAACAATCAAGATCCCGCACAGATCGTTACCCGGGTGGATGATGCCCAGCTGGCTCGTCTAGCCACCGCCGAGCAGAAAGTGGGGAACAACAGAGGCAAGATAACACCATTGTTTTGTACGACCAATTTACATGAATGCCTACGATATACCAACCGGTCAACGAAGATTTCGATCCTCGGCAAATTCGTCTCGAGGGTCCAAGAATCGAGCAACTGGAACGTTTGGAAGGTGTTAGGCATCAGCAGCGAGAGCAGAATAGGCGGCCACGACATCACCACAAGGAACCTCGGGAAAATCGAACCAACCGCCTCGAAGCTCCGCTGCCCATTATTCCAAGCGTCCCGGAGCCGGTCGATAACTCTAAGCTTGGTAAGGCTAAGGCTTCTCCCTTCACCGACGCCATACAGCAAGAGCGGCCTCCGGAGCGTTTTGTCTTGCCGAAGCTCAAGCGTTACGAGGCCAAGGAGGACGCAGTCGCGTTCGTTTGCCGATTCCGACAAACGATGAGCCTCCACAACTTCTCCGACGCACTTATGTGTAAGATTTTTCCTCTTACACTAAGTGAGCCAATAATGTTATGGTATAATCAGCTCAAGCCGAAGTCCATTAAGTACTTCAACGAGCTGGAGTTGGAGTTCACCAAGCGATTCGTGACGAGCAACATCCAGCCGAAGACACTCTCAATGCTGGTGAATATGAAGAGGGCACTGGGCGAAACCCTTCGGTTATACACCGAGCGATATTGGGAGGTTTATAACCTCATTCCCGATTGTGATCCTGGCGGCCGAGTCATTTATGAACGGGTTGGATCCAACCTCGGCAATGTTCAGAGATTTGTCCCGGAACCAGCCGAAGACAATGGGGGAGCTTATGGTGATTATCGAAAAAGATTGTGTGCATGAAGAGGCAGTGGCTGAACGTAATGCACCGAAGGGGACAGAAACATCAAAGACAATTGCTGCGAAGAGGCAAGTAGTTAACGTTCGGCAGGGGCAAACAGGTCAAAATGGCGCTGGGTCAAGCAAACCGAACAATCGGAACAAACCTCCACAACACCCACAGCAACAACCTCAATGGCAGCAGACGAAGAGGGAGCCGAGGCCGGAAGAGTATGCCGCCAAGCGAACTGCGTTTACCGAACCAATCTATAAATTGCTGAGTATCATTGGGCAGATGCCGTTCTTCGTTTAGCCGACGGGATTCTCAGGAACGGCGGGCAATGGCCCTGGGATGTGTACGTACCACAAGGAGTGTGGCCATTACACCACCCAGTGCCAACCATTCAAGCGCTACCTGGAGGAACTTGCGGCAGCAGGGCATCTCAATCAGTGGATCGACCTTCTGTGAAATCCACTGCCCCCTCTTCCGCCTCCTCTAGCTGGAAATCTTGTTGGAGTCATTCAAGGCATGGTGTCCGAGGGACGAGTGGCTGAGCTCTATTCCGAAATCGACAAAGCTGTTGCCGCCTTGGCCGTTTGCAATATTGGAGTCTCGCCGAAGAGGAAGTGGGCTGATCCTAGCCTCGATGGCCCGGTGACCTTCACGTCCGAAGATTTGCAAAGGGTTCAAATGCCACACGCCGACGCCCTCGTCGTCTCAGTCACTGTGGGCACTTCCACTGTTCAACGGGTGCTGGTAGATCAGGGTAGCTCGGCGGAGGTTATGTTCTACTCAACGTTCAAGAACCTTGGTCTCAAGCCAAACCAGCTTCGGACAGCAAGCACACCCCTCGTCAGCTTCACCGGAGCACCTGTGTGGCCCCAAGGATTGATCACTCTTCCTGTGCGAGTCGGCTCCCGAGTGATTGATGTTGAATTTGTGGTGGTTAGTTCTCCTAGCCCCTACAACATCATCCTCGGTCGAACCTGGCTACACGGAATGAAGGCGATTGCCTCTACCCTCCACCAGGTCATGAAATTTATCGGCTGGAATGGAAGGCAGGAGAGCCTTCGGGGGGACCAAATCCAATTGAAGAAGTGTTATGTCAGTACGGTGACTAACGAGCAGAGCTTCTTGGAAGTACAATGC